CAGGGCCCGCCCCTCGGCCCGGCGCGCGGAGGCGGCGCGCACGCGCGGGGAACATGGCGGCGGCGGAGCCCGCGGTGGCCGCGCTGGCCGGCGGCGGTGTGGGCGCAGGGGCGCCGTCGGGCGGGGTGCCGGTGCTCTTCTGCTTCTCGGTGTTCGCGCGGCCCGCGTCGGTGCCCCACGGCGCGGGCTACGACGTGCTCATCCAAAAGTTCCTGAGCCTGTACGGCGACCAGCTCGACATGCACCGCAAATTCGTGGTGCAGCTCTTCGCCGAGGAGTGGGGCCAGTACGTGGACCTGCCCAAGGGCTTCGCGGTGAGCGAGCGCTGCAAGCTGCGCCTGGTGCCGCTGCAGATCCAGGTGGGTCCCGCCCCCGCGCGGTCCGGTGCCCGCGGGCCACTCGCGCCCCCACGTGTGTGGTCCCCAGTGCCCCGCCGCTTTGTGCGGCAGCCGCCTGCGTCGCCCCGCGGCCCCTGCTGCTCTTATTTATTTATTTATTTTTTCTCGGGTGATGCCGATCTTGGGGAGGGTTAGCCTTAGGGGCTTGTCCCGGAGTTGTGGTCACCAGTTGCAGACCTGCAAACTTCACTGCGACTCCCTTCTCCTTTCGTTTTGGCGACAGTCTGGGCGCCTGCCCAGGGAAGAGAGCTGCAGTAGCCTCTTAAATAGCCAGCTTCCTGTGAATCCCAGGCTGAGGAAGTTGTACCTAAGTATTAGAGTTTATTAATGTTTATATTAGTAAATGCCATGCTGTAACGCGGGACAATCTCCTGTCCTAAAATCTGAGGATTTTCTGGCCAATGTATGCTTTTGAGAGGAAAGGAGATACGTGTAATGTAGGCAATACCCAATCTGTTTTGTTTTTTGTTGTTGTTGTTTTGTTTTTGTTTTTTCTGTGCGTGTAGAATTGCTGAGTCCTTTCTGGAAGACGAACTGAAATGTGGCATTTGAGGGTAGAAGGAATTTTCATATCCAAGTACCATTTTGAGAGGCTTATCCCCTACCTAGTTTTTGTTTCTCATCTGTAGTCAAGAGATAGACTAGATTGTGGTGCCCCTCCTCCCAGCAGATAAGGATCCAAAGGGAGTACTTTAACTTGATTAAAGTTCGCGTGTTTGGTGGAGTGACCTGCCCTGCTGCCCCGGTGGAGGGCTGCATTTTTTTAGTGTTTAATGTTCTCTCTCTCTCTTTTAGAGTTCTAGATTACTCCTCCTTACAGCCTTCCATCTGTCCGTTTAGATTGCCACTGCCAGATATCCAATATGTTGGCTGTACCTTTGACAAATCCATTATAAGGCCAGAATCAAAATACAGAGATGCAGATTGCTTTGTCAACCATTTCGTGTTATTCTTGGGAGAGAGAGGCAGGGAGTGTGGGGGAGAAAAGGGGAAGATTCCACCTGTGAGTGCTGTACTAAACTAGGCTGTCCAAGTTTAAGTTTGCTTTTGCTTTTCTGTGTGCTAGGGTAGGAATTTCATATTTTGAAAATTTCAGATGTGATTCAACTCTTAAAAAGTCTGAAAATAATAATGTGTGTGTGTGAGTGTGATACACATACTGAAAAGGTAATACATAATTACCACTTTGGCTTTTGAAATATTTTAGTATAACTGATTTTTGTAATAATTTTTAAGACAATCACTAAAATGATAGCAGTACTCTTTTCTATCCTAACATATAGTATTTTTTCCTCATAAAATAACCTAAGAATTCTTAAGCTTATTGGTTACATATGTCTATATTTTGAGGTACTTACAAATACTTTCATATTCTCATTTTAATAATTAAAATACTCTCTGCAATAAAATAATCATTATAATAACAGCAGTATTCTTTCTCTCCACTAAAAAATAGTAATTTTTCTCACTAAACAACCAAAGAATCCTTAAGCTTATCAGATATATGTGTCTATATTTTGAAGTACTTACAAATGCTTTCACTTTGGTAATTGTAGTCCTTTCCTTCCATCGTGCGCCTCTGTGTGCCTCTTCCAGCCCAGCTGTAGACAGTATGAGAGAAGATCTTACACAGTGCATGTGAGGATGTTCATGTACACGTGGGTTTTTATGTGTGGGGCTATATTTTCAGAAGAGATACCTCTTTTCATTGCTACTACATCTTCTGGAACATGTCTGTATATGTTCTACTAACATGGGTGATTTATGTCCAGAAGAGTTCATTCCACATTGAAATGGCATTTTGAGTGCATTACCTGGCAATACAAGCCTGGATTCGGTACCTGTTGGAGATGGCAATGGCATTTGTTTCTCTAAGGAGCAGAGCCTAGAGAGGTCAGAAGGTTAGGAGACTGCCCTGGATCAAATGGCTGCAAAGGCAGAGCCAGCAAAGCATGAACAGGTCCTCAGTGGATGTCTGAACATCTGCCATAAGGTGACTGTTGCCTTTTCATGTTTGATGAGAGCGTTGAGAAGTCTGGAAAGCAAGCCCGTCTTCAGCTTCTGCTTGTTCATTTCTCTGAATGCTGCTTTCTGCTGTTTTACAGTGAACACCTGTCACTTAGGAAGACTCAGGGTGGCTTCTGGGGAGGTGGGAGTGATGAAGATGGTATAGGCCTCTTTCCCTTCGGGAGCAGAGACTGTGAGTTCTGTGCAGAGTCCTTGCTTGAACAGTGTCACAGCGTCTCTCCCTCACAGACTCTTGTTCTACAGTTGAACTCTTAATTTGCCTTCCTGGTTGCTGTGACTGCTGTGGGCAGTGACCTTGTAGAATTGTATGTGGTTGTGCCAAATTGTGCCTATGGTTGGCAGCAGTTCTTTGGGAACTGATCTTGAAGACCTCCATTGCCAGTATGAGTATGTGGTAGCTTTTAAGGGATTCCTTTTAAAAAAAAAAAAATATCCTGTTAGAGTGTCCAAATGTCTGCTGACAGCTCAGGTAGCTGAAGACAAAGCTCATGTTTCATTCATGGTTTGTGTGTCTGAAGTCTGACAGATTTAGAGGCATAGGAGACAGAATGTAAATGAAGGGATCATGGAGTGGAAGTTTAGGTCTTTTTATGACTCACTTGTATTTTTTTCAAAAGGTGTTTTCCCAAGTCTGCAGGACAGAGACAAGCAATGCTAGAGGCTCATGTAGAGCCAGGGCATTGCCACAGTCTTTGTCCAGAGCAGGACGAGCCTAAACAGAAGACAGGAAGAAATGGATGCTGGCCAGACAGAAGGGAAGGCTTTGGCAGCTTTTTAAGGACAGGAGATAGGAGTTTCCCTGGGCAGGTTATTTTGACCTGTTCCTGAGTTAAGTTAAGTGGGAGAAGATTTGGATCCAGCTGTCCTGTTCTAGTAACTTATATTTTATGAGGGTGGTGCACAGACGTTTTTATTAGAAGAGACAGTCTAGTTCTTGATCAGACAGGAGGAAAGGCAGATACGGAAAGAAATGTGGTCTGCTTGTGGCTTGCTGGTTGGAAGGTAGAGACTGAGGTTGTAGGACCTTTGCTTATAGGGGTGTCACAAGAAAAACACGTGATAAGCTCAGGCTCAGACCAAGTAGAGAGATTAGCAAGGTGTGTCTGGGGAGCAGAGTGCCTTAGGGGACAGTGAGAAGAGATGCCTAGTTCCAGAGTTCCAGGTGTTGTCTCTAGCTTATTGTTTTGATGGACAGAGTGGTTTATGGGGTATATGCTTAAAAACTTTCAGTATTGCGGAGTAATACCGAAAGCATTGTGTCTTGTTCCTTGTGTGTAACTGCTACCTATAAATAAACTGCACTCCAGAGTGGGAGCTGTGACCTGCATATGATTTTTTTTTCTCTTACATTTAGTTAGCGATGGGGGAATCTTAATGTAGATTTAAATATCAATGTCCTCTTGGCTCAGCCCAGTTTCACCTTCATCCCAGTCTGACGCTGAGCCTTGAGAGATGCTTTAGGTCTCAGCTCTCGGTGGATAGGCACAGCTGAACTTCCTTAGGAAGTCAGAGAGCTGAGTTTGTAAGATGGGGGTATAATGTTATACCAGGGACACGGATGCCCAGAGTAGGTACACATGTCACAAAAGCAAAGGCAGGATACTCTCTAGCCACCTAAATAAAAACTTCTCAGTCTGTTTTGCCAAAAAAATAAACCGTACGATGATGAGCCTTTTGGTGGTGTCTGGAAACGCACTTTATGAATGAGTTTCTTAATTCTGCACCAAACTAGCACAGTGGTGTTTCTAGAGAGGCCTTAAGGGTAAATCGTCCTTCACCTCATTAGAGAGCTTCCATGCCTGTGCTGACTCAAGTGTTGGTTTTGCAGGATATCACCACAGCCAAAGAACAATACTGTTTTTCTTACTGTGTTAAAGATAAGGAAATTCTATTAGAAGATGTTAATGGTTTACCAAAATTTGTTTAATTTAACAAAGCAAAACCGAGATTTAACTCAGGTCCGAATGCCCACAGGCGTGGGCTGTGTCTGGAATCCTTGAAGGCTCTGTATGTGGGGTGGGGAAGCCATCTGTTTTAAATGAGTTGATACTGGGTCAGGGCCTTCCAAAGCTGTGTAATTGGATTGGAAACACTTAGGACTTAAATACTGAGTGAAAATAAGAAAAAAGGGGCAGACATGTCTGCTCCTAGAAATGGTGGAGGAGAAAGTCTGTTGCAGATAAAAGGGAGAACATAGCCGGAGGCAGAGACATCTGGGAGAGTCCAGAGTGCTGTGACCCTGAGCCATGTGAGAAAGGGCAGGGGAAGGGAGCAGGGAGAGAGAGGAACCAGGTGCAGCAGCCAAGAGGGCAAAAGGTTAAAAAACAGGAAAGTAACCAAAATGACTGAATGAGGACCAGCAGCCCAGCTTTTGGACTGGAGAGTTTGGAGGGTAGAGGACTGGATATGCCAGCCATACCCTGTAATAGGTAGTGACTGAAGGATGCTGGGAAAAGATGGCAGCCAGTCAGCTTTGATATGTTAGATAGGTGCTTCAGCCATTTGTCTCAGGTCTGAGACCTATAGTTACCTAGGTCCCCTTCAGACCCTTACTTGAGTAGGTCATGTCTATCTTCTAACTGTTAATAGGCTACCAATTTTAAAAGAAAAACAATCACCCATCTTAAAACGTTTCCTGTCACTAAGCATGTACAGTGCCCCTATGGCACTGGGGCTATCATAGCATTGCTAACTGTGGGCCTGAAACAATACAGGCATTCTCTGTTTCTGGATGCCAGAGCCCATGGGTGTGGGCAGGTTCCTTCTGAGGGCAGTGGCGAAGAATCTTTTCATGATTTTCTCTACCTGATATTTGTGGCAGATCATGGCTTATAGAAACTATTACTTTAGTCTCTGCTTTCATGGCCAAAGCATTCTGGTTTTCTGTCTTGTCTTCCCATCTACCTGTATAAGCATCTCTTTTTCATGTGGTCACTGGTCATCTTCATTATCTTATGTCAAGTTATCTGCAGTGACTCCAGGGCCATAGAAGGTCATTCTCAAAGGCACTGGGGTTCAGAATTTCAAGTATGACTTTGTAAGGGGCTGAGAGACACCATTCAATGGTAAGACACCATATCTTACTCCTGTACCAGAAACTGGTGTGTATTGTTAAGCTAGGTCAACCATTTTTGTTTCCCTGGGTGTCCAGCTAGTGGCCATTTTGTAAAATAGTCAGAGCACATGGTCAGGGTAATAGGAATATCAGTTTTTCTGTGAAAAGTCTCCAGGTATTCTATTCATTATGAAATCTAAGGTCAGTGCCACGCTGTGGCAGGTCTAAGGGAGGGGGACAAAGTGCGACACTGTATAAATTATACACCATGCAACAGGTCTGATACAAAGAGGTTTGTTAAGAGACAGACAGAGTAGTGGGAGAGTATAGGAGAAAAGAGAAAAGGAGATAGATGGGGGCTGTAGGAGAGAAAGTAAGAGAGAGAAAGAGAGACAGAGACAGAGAGAAACAGAGAGAAACTGAGGGAGAGCAAGAGTGAGCCAGAGAGAGAGGGGCGGTTTGGCAGCAGATTATATTCCCTGGCTCAGGTGATGACATAGAATGCAGGTGATGATATAGGACATTCATTGTCAGTACCCTAAAGACCCTTGAGGGCAGGCCAGTTGAACTGCCCACACACCAACATAACACAAAAACTCTTGTGCTTAAATTTTGCCTCTTAAACTCTTATTTTAGGAAGTCACTGGTTACAGTAACCAGCCTTTTATATTTAAGCATGTGTATTCACGTGTATGTATAAGTAATTTGTGTCTCTTGAATCTGTACTGATCTTCAAATGCTAAACTTTTGCTTCTAAAAATACCTGGTCAAATCTGCATTTGTCTCGGCAGCATCGGTCATACTGGAGGCATAGCATGTGTTTTTGGGGCCATTGGCAGTACTTATAAGTATCTACAATTTCATTTTAATTAAAACTTGTGAGTCAGGATAAAAAACAATTCCTGAATTAGAATTGAATTGAATTATGATGTCATCGAATTGGATTCCATATGCATTTAGGGATAAGGAACAGACAGGATTAGGTGGATAACATGGATAGAAATTTTTGGTTTTGTTTGGTTGTTGTTGTTTCTTTTGTTTGTTTGTGTTTGGTTTTCCCCTCTAAGCTTCCTTTTTCTGGCTTGTTATTTCTGAAGGTTATTTCTGCAGCCACAGCTTATCTCTAACTTCCATATCCCAGGGAAGCCATTATTTTTAAGTAAGACTTGCATGTTAGAAGAATTTTAGATTTATGCTTCAGTTGCATAGAGAGGATAGGCTTTCTATTCCTCTGTCCCATCGAGTCCTCTGTTGTTTATATTGTACTCCATTGTGGTTCATTTGTCACAACTAATGGAACCAGTATGATGCACTGCTATTATTTAAGGTGCACACTCGAGTTCTTGAATTGTTTTTATTCTTTTTTTTTCTATTTTTTTAGTATACATGTGTGTCTGTGTGTGAGTATATGCATGCGAGTGCAGCTGCCTGTGCAGTTCAGAAGAGGGTGTCAGGTCACCTGGATCTGGAGTTAACAGGCAACTGCGAGCAGTCCAGTGCATGCTGGGAACTAACCTTGGGTCTCCGGAAGAGCAGTGCACACTTTTAACCACTGAGCCATCTCTCCAGCCCCTGCATGCTGGTTTTTACTAGCTTTTCTTTTCCGTCTTTTCTCTGTTTGTATTTCAAGATGACCTTATTACGACCCAGTCCCAGATCCAGTTAAATCCACTTGCCAGGCCTACCCTGGTTCCTCTGTGCCACCACGGCACTTTCTTTGATTTTGATTGTCGTGAATGACTTTGATAGTATCGGGAAACACCCGTCAGGTGTCTCAGAGGGGTGTCGTCGGTTTTCATGTCTGTGGTGTTTTTCCTATGGGGCGATTGGGATTATGGGACTGTGAGGACTCACGAAGGCCATTCTCGTGTCAGGTACACACATGGTTTGTCTGTGTGAATTATTGACCGCGTGAGCGAGGACTGTGTAGCTGACGTGTTTGTCAGTTTCCCCTTGTGTCAGGTAGTCACTGTCCTGCCTTTACACTCTCTCAGGCAGACTCCGCCAGATGCAGCAGTTCAAGGGTATGAGGAGGCGTCCAAGGCTCACACACTCAGAAACTCCATCTTCATAAGAAAGCAAGTCACTGTTGACTGTGACATCTGAGTTTACTGAAAAGGGTTCTGTGGGGTGTAGACAGCACAGCATGAGGGTTGTTTTTCTTCTGCCCTCAGAGCATATATTCAGATATCTGGCTGGGTAAGAATTTTGTTGCTGAACATTGGTAACTTAACATTTTGACCAATTTTATTTACCTTGTGGTCCCTCTAAAGTAGTATATTATTTGACACATTATTTTTACATATTCTTAATGAATACTAGAATGACGTCTCTTCTAATTTAAAATAATGTGTTACTACCTTGCTAGAGGCCAGTGAAACTGAGTTGGGCTTGGTCTTGTACTTTCGATCTGTTTGTCCATCTCCCCTGTCAGTTCCTGCCTCTGCTAATTTGCCTGCCTCCAGCAGTGTTTCTAGTTGTTGGTGACTCTGCCTTTCTGTGAATTCAGAATGCAGACTGCCAGTTTCGCGTGGGACCTACAGTATTAGACGACATAGACTGGGTTCATATGTGCACGGTGTGGCTGTGAGCATGTATGAACAGGGAGCGTGTCAGGGCTTGACTGTCAGAGCACTAAAGTACCAGCAAGTGCCAGGGGTTTCCTGTTCAGACTTGCTGGCTAGTGGAATGGCAAGTTTGGCTGATTAAGGAACTTCTTCCCAAGCCTGATGCCCTGAGATATAATCCCAGAAGCCACGCGGTGGAAGGAGAGACCAGGCTCTGAGGAGTTGTCCTCTGACTTCCCAATGCAAATCCTGGATCTTGCATAGACACAGACACATACGCTAAATGAATAAATGTAAACAAAATGACACTTTTTAAAAACTGGGTGAGAAAACAGCCAAAGCACTTGAGCACTTATTTTAATTGGTGAAGTTGGACTCTCTCCATAGTGTTAACTGATGGGCATTCTGGCTCTGACCAGTCCAGTGCTGCTGGACTGCCCGTAGTAAGTGAATGTGCATGCTGTAGCCTCCCCTGCAGTGGGAGAGGAGAGCAGTGGGGCCTCCAGCCGCCACACAGGCGGAAGCTGTCATACAGCAGCTAGGATAGCCGCAGCATCGGGGATAGAAGATTGCTTTCAGTGGCCCCATTAGTCCATGGAGGAATTGTCTCCTCTGGAGCCTGCTGCATGCAGAGCCGGTGAGGCTGAGTCTAGACTGAGCTGTTCCAGAGGCTACAACCATGTAATTGGGACACAGACTTCTCCAGGAAATTATTAATAATTGATATCTGTGGGTGGTTTTAGGGGATACAAAACAGGATAATTGGTGGTGGGGGGCACAGTTAGTGGGTAACCGGGAAGAGTAATGACATTGGTTCCGTACAGACCAAGCACATTCATTGCAGAGCTTTCTTTAATTTGCAAGGTGGAAGGTAAAGCACCCTGTTCTTTCAGTATCCCGTGAAAATGTCCCGCTTTCAGCGCGAATTTTACATGTTAGTAGATTTCCACTGTGCCCACACTGTTGGCGTGGGCTACCTGCAGCAAATGTGAAACTTGGAATTTTACTATCTAGCTTTCCTCCTAATTCACTTATTTCCCCACTCCTGATACTGTGTAAGAACTCATTCTTTGGTGTGTTCCTTTCCCAGCACAGGACAGCTCCCGTGTGTCACTACTGAACTCTAGAAGTCACCCTTGCGAGTGGCGTCTTTGTATTTTTATTTTGATAGCAGTGATTGTGTATCTGCTATGAATTATCTTGTTTCCTGTTTCATAGTCTCTGCTACAGGTTAATGTTTAAATTGTTACTTTCTCTATATGAGTTAGTTTAAAATTGAATTTCTGTGTGTAATACTACTATCATATTTGCATTTTACTATGTTAATATTTTTTATATGAAGGTAACATTCACAGTGACATTCAGCAAATGCTTTTAAATACACTAAAAATGAGAATAAAATATTCAAATTATATAGCTACTGGATAATTTTTCGATATTTTCTTTTTCTTTATACTTTTACATTGAAATGCTACTCAAGTGTGCTGTTGCAAAAATTAACGTTGTATGGGAAGTAGTTCTTCTTAGATGGAAGAAATTCTTTGAAACGTGCATATTTTTAACTGACTACAATGTTTTTTTTATTTCTGAAAATATTAAAATTCATTTAAACATTTATATAATGTTGGTCTTTGCTTTATTTCCCCCTTCGCTACTAGTGCAGTCTGGAGGGTCTTCGAGGGTAATGCCCTTTTGGGTGGGGGAGTAATTCAGATTTTTTTTTTCCTGTAGTAGTAGTTGTGTGAGTTTACTTACTGAGGCAAAGAATAGGAACATTTTTCTTTTTGCATTGACATCCACCGAAAATAAGTGTCCCTGTCATACAAATGCCAGATCATTCTTGTTTTCTTTTCTCCTCAGCTTACGACCCTGGGAAATCTCACACCCCAGAGCACTGTGTTTTTCTGCTGTGACATGCAGGAAAGGTTCCGACCAGCCATCAAGTACTTTGGAGACATCATCAGTGTGGGGCAGAGACTGGTATGCTGTATTCATTTGTTCCCATTTGCCAAGGCACGGTGTGTGCTCATCTCTCTATTCAACACTTTCTGTTTGTTTGTTTTCACCATTTTGTTCGGCACTTCTTTTCAGTTGCAAGGAGCTCGGATCTTAGGAATTCCAGTTATCATAACAGAACAATACCCCAAAGGCCTTGGCAGCACTGTTCAAGAAATTGACCTAACAGGGGTAAAGCTGGTTCTTCCGAAGACTAAGTTTTCCATGGTGTTACCTGAAGTCGAAGCGGCGTTAGCCGAGATTCCTGGCGTCCGGAGTGTTGTGTTATTTGGAGTAGAAGTAAGTACCTTCTTAGAGCGTGCCATTTGTGGGAAACTTGGCATTCCCAGAACGCAGTCTCGTTTATAGGATGCTGGTGGGTAAGTAGCACTGAGGGAAAATGGCCACCACTAGCTATGTGTTCCCCACCTTCGGGGCACTGATGAAATGCCTCATAGCTGTTAACACCTTGAACACTCAGAGCAACCCGTGAGCTATGCGCCCTGTGTCCTCCAGTGCCACAGAAGAGAAACCAAGGTATAGAGGTGTGGGCACCCTGCGCAAGGGCAGACAGCCAGCGAGCTGGGCTGCATTGGAATCTCTGCCAGTGAGAACCACCTGCTTCCTGCTTTGGAAGACTTTTTCCCCAAAGGCTTTATTTTTATTTATGTGTTTACTGGACTTGATTGGGGCACACTTTGTGTTGTACCCCACCTCGCTGCCTCTCCAGGGTTCTACAGTTCATTGTCCTTCAGATAGGCTCAAGGACATACCCTTACAAAGGCCAGACACACTCTTGGGTTCCTAGTGCCAATTTCAGTTGGCTTATTACATTTCATTTATTTATTTATTTATTTCTGAGGTACGGTCTTGCTCTGCGGTATGGAATTCATAATGTAACCTAGGTTGGCATCAAATCTGTGGCAGACCTGCGTCTGCCTCCTGAGCGCAGGGACCACAGGGTTGGGCCACCGTACTCAACTTATTTCTAACTTTTAAACAACCATTATGCTGGAATTTTAAAAATTATGAACAAAATTAACTCAGTACAATAAAATAGAATGTAACATGGTTCTACTTTGATATTAAGGTTTTGATATCATAATAGGTTTTATAGCAGTAATATTTTGATATCATAATAGGTTTCCATATTAGAAAAAAAAATGTAATCTTAACTTTAGATGTCCATTAAGTAATGTGCATGTTTTCAGTTCTCTCCTGACAGTAGAGAGGAAGGTTGTTTGTGGACATATGTCATACGAATGCAGTGGCTTTCACACATTTTTTTTTTTTTTTTTAGCATAACTTAATTCTTAGAGGGTGTTTTTGCTTTGTGTCCTTTTCTGAGGCAATGCTACAAGACAAAGTCTGCAAAGATAGGGTCTGAACAGTACAGCTGTTGTAATGGACGCTGGGTAATCCCAGATTTTCAACCGAATAAGCCAAAGCTGGAGTAGTTTATGCTTAAAACTATCTGGCTAACTAGAGCCTGAATTAAATATGAAAGGGGTTATGGTTAATTGGTTTGCATTCCTTTCCATCTGTCCTCATGTATATTTGTAAAATGTTTTTATGGTTTTGGGCCTGCAGCATAAATTACTTACCTTTGCCTGTCTTTACATTGGTATGACTCATTTGCCCGAGTACTTTCTCAGTACTGTGGCCTCATTCGCTTGAGTTGCATGGCTGATCCAAAAACAGACATAAACCAGAGTGCAAGTGGCCCTACACCTGAGTGATAGTAATGAGCTTTCTTGAGGTCACTCAGAGGACACAGGTGAAAGTCATTAGACATTTTACAGTATTCTGTGAGTAAGTTCAATGTGACTGTAAGAAACATTGATAAAAGACAGTTCTTGGTCTGTGAAGATGCTGCCATGTGCTAGAGCTCCCCTAAATCTTGAAAGCCAGATAGTGCTGGTAAGTTTTGTGGTGATTCCTTTCGCCCTTTTAGACACAGAGTGCACTGACAGTTTCCTGTGTTCTTACATGTGATGCTCTCTTTCCTACAAGACACACGTATGTATCCAGCAAACTGCCCTGGAGCTGGTCGGCCGAGGCATTGAAGTCCACATCGTGGCTGATGCCACCTCCTCCAGAAGCATGATGGACAGGATGTTTGCTCTTGAGGTACCTGTTCTGCTTAAAAATAGGTTGTCCATCGAGTTTTCTGAAAAAATTAGGAGTCTCGAATACTTAACAGTATTGGACAATTTGCCTTTTAAACTTCAGCTTGGCTCAGCATCAGTGTGAACATACACACACTGATAATAAAATAGAAGTTTAAACCAATTGTAAAGAGGGTTTGCTGTTGCTGCCAGATCATCCATGCTCTGGGTACATACTAGCTTGTGCATTGTTCTTTGTTGGGACTGCATCAGCTCTGTAGCCTGAAGTGCCCTCCATCGTGCAAAAGGAAAGGATGAAGGAGGAACAGGTCACCTTTCTCTCAGTAGCAGCAATTGATTCAAAATCTGTTCAGCTTCTCTTCTTAGTTTTTCTCAAAAGCTTGTAACTACTATTAGGATTATAAGTAGAAGTTTGCTCTTTGTTTATTTGTTGCAATATTTATATTTATTCGTTGAAAATTTCCTGCAATGTTTTTTGAGCATGTTCAGTCCCCTCCAACTCCTCTGCTTACCACTGTCACCATCTCTTCCCATCTAAGTTTGAGATTGCTTTTTTTTTTTTAAGTCTCTTTCGCAACAGGTCCAGTTTGTGTTGCCCATCTGTTTTGGGGTTTGAACCTCAGCCCTGCAGTGTGGTTGGTTAGCCTGTCGGGCCTCATATTCTTAAAAGAAACTGACTCACCTTTCTTCCAGTAACTATTAAGTGCCGGTGGCTTCTCAGCTAGATGGGGAATTATGTGTCCACCTTCCCCTCTATGCTGGGATTTTGTGTTGAGCCAACAGAGGTCTTGTGTGGTGTTAAAATTGCTCTGAATCCATATGTGCTTCTGTGTCTAGGAAATGCTGCTTCCTTGATGCTATCCACCACTTCCCACTCTTAAAGTCTTCCCATCCCTTTTGTCCCTTTTTCCTCAGAGACCCCTGAGTCTTGGGGTGAGGAGCATTAAATGTTAGATAGAAGGGTTGGGTTTTTTTTTTTTTTTTTGGTTTTTGTTTTGTTTTGTTTTTTTCTTTTCATAAATGGTGCTGCTTCTCATCTCAGCAAGGATCTGTAAGCTATTCTTAAGTCATGAATTCATCTCAATCCATTTTCCAAGCTTGGCTATTAACTGAGGTTTTGCAGCTTCACAGTCAGGTCAGCCTCCTCTCAACAAGCAGCTGTCTTCAAGTACTTTCATGCAGAAACTTCATTGTCATGATAATGCTCAGACTTTAAAATATTTCAAAGGCACTAAATGGTGGAAAGCCGAAAGCCGTGCAAAAAAAAAAAGTCTTGTTCGCTATGAAAATATTTCCAGGACTTTTCTTCTGCATGATGTGAACATATTTTTTTTACATCTTGACCAGTTTCTCCTCTTTACCACTCCTCTCCCCCAGATCTGCTGCCCTTCCACTTCCCTTTAGAAAAGAGCAGGCCTCCCAGGGAATGAACTGACCACAGAAGAGCAAGTTACAAGACTAGGCACAAACCCTTCTATCAAGGGTGGAAAAGGCAATCCAGTAGAAGGAAAAGGGTCCCAAGAGCAGGCAGAGATACCCACCTCCACTCTCACGGTTAGGGGTCCCACAAGAATACCCCACTATATAACCATAATATATATGAAGAGGACCTAGCTCTGACCCATACAGGCTACCTGATTGTCACTTCAGCCTCTGAGTTCCTGTGAGCCCTGTTTAGTTGATTCAATGGGCTCTGAGACATTCTAAGAAGAGACAGAAAGAATCTGATCTTATGCATGGACATAGAAGAGCCTGCCTGGGTTAAATCATCAAGGATGAAAATGGGAAAATGACCACGGTAGGTCAGATGATGATGTGCAGTACCTGCAGGTGAGGTGAGGTGAGGTGAGGTGAGGTGAGGTGAGGTGAGGTGAG